TTAATGAATTACATGAATTTTCTAACATTATCTGCATGGACATGTTTATTCAATATTGTATCATCCACGAACATTGCTACTTTATTTACATAGAATGTCTAAAAAAATATAAAGTATGTTATATCAAGGTTTGTTTTTAGAATAGTATTTTCTATATATTGAAAGATTACGGTCTAGATATGACAATTAACCTATGTGCAGTCTGCGTGTGTAACATTGCTATTATATGGTAACTATGGTTCGAATGACTGTATAGAATGACAAGAATGGACATATATGCTTAGGATTGAAATTAATCGGGAAGTTATATCCCTGAACTAAGAACATGAAATCTGTACACATTGAGGCGACTCTATTCACTCTGTATTTTACCATATTTTTGTTTATTACATACCTCAGTATTACGGACGCATTTCTTTGTATCATATAGAGAAATATGATCGTTTGAAGCGGAATACTGATTAAAAGGAAAGTCGTATACTGTCTTCGTAAAAGAACTCCGTAAACGATCGTATTTCTCTTTATGCGATGTGAAGAAATACGATCGTAATACGGAGTCATGTAACATATCAATAGATGATGATTTACGTTTATTTACAAACATGTTTGTTTGATCTGAGATGCTTTTAGAAGTGACAATCGTTGTTATTAAACTATTGAGTAGTTCAATCGATTGTTCGATGGTGTATACGTGAAGATGTAATGTAATAATTATTGAAAGTTAGAGAGTAAATTTTAACATAAGATTACGATAAAGTAAAATCGGATTATCTGAATAATAGAATATTAATTTGCTTTTGTTTGCAATAGACAAAGTGCCAATATAACTAATTATAAATGCTCATATCGATTTCTGGGTTATTTTTATAAATCAATATATAGGATGTCCAGAAAGTAAATAAAGAAAGAAAAATTTCAATATCTCTGCCATATTTCCACTATATGGGCTGATATTTTCATCAATGATAAAATAGTTTTATTTGTTGATAAAAACTAGAATATCGGTTTTTGATAACTCGTGAAATCTTACAGATCTTTCTTGGAGTCACTTGTACTACTTAAAGAATAATTTTCAAGAAAACTTCTCTTATAAGTATTAAACTATTAAAATTCCCTTATTAGTGATAAAAATATCAATCCATTTGATCGAAATATAGCGGAAATATTCAAACTTTTCTTTATTTAGTTATTTACGGACATATAACATAATTTAATTCTTAACATGAAGAACACACAGAATAATAGAAATGATGAAAAATTGAATGATTCACAATTTCAAATTTCTTTTTATTTAAACTATTGAAGCTTTAATCATGAAGTCTCTGAAATCAATATATTACTATGTGTAAGCAAGTACATATTATCGATAGAATTTGAGAATTCAACACATATATGGATCTGTAATAAAAGGAGTTTTTCATTCACTCTATTCAATTATGATTTGAAATTGAAAATAAAGTTTTAAGAACACAGTATGAAATAAGAATAGTGAAAAAAAATCAAAAAGTTGATAAAATTTCTGTAGAAAAACCAATAACATTCCACATATAAACTGAACATGATTAGACTAGTTTAGCATATCCAAAATCAGTTTTTCTTTTTTGTAAAATGAATCGCTGGTACATGTCAAGCAATCTCTTGCGTCCATCTAGTTCCCTACTTAATGCATGTGTATACATCCATACGCTTATATGCATATCTCAATCTTGTCAGTGTAAGATCAGGTGAATAGAGTGTCTTAATGAATAGTTCTCGTTATGGTTAGATTTTTTATAATATTGATTGATGATAACAAACAATTCAGATGCTATAGTTTTCAAATATTTAGCAATCAAATTCGGTCGACAACATTCATGAACTCTTGAAGTTTTACGATTATTGATATTGATACGTAACATGCAAGTGCTGGTTATTTTTAAAGGCGATGATAATATGCCAATAGGTATCAAATTAGTTCTAAATTTGAATACGCTTAAAAGCACTAGAAAACAACAGAAAATTCGATAACGAGCTGTTATCATCTAGTGATTACAAAAATGCAATCATCTATTGGATTGATTCGGTATATATCACCTCTAAATGAGAAAACTGCTCTGTCATCCAAAAATAAAATATAATTTTTAATAAGAGTTTCATTGGTTTCATGTTCGTATTAGAATAGTTAGTGATAATCTTCTCAATATTGATCATACATGACATAACAGTTACACTTTAATTTGTGTGTGTCCTCCAATTTTATGAACAACTAAATATATAGGTATGATTATGTAGCGATTGATCACAGTTAACAGAATTATGTCTTTTCTATGAGAGTAATTTTAATTGCGTAGTTCTATATTTAAATCATAGTGCTGAAGATATTTAAAACAAGTGAGCGTTGTTTAAAACTTGTAGTGATATGTTCCCTTTATAACTTCTTTTTTTTTAATACTATTATACATTTTTCTGTCAACTTTAAAAGACTTAGGATAGATAATCATGTTATTCGGATGAAAACATGGATCTTTATTAAATGCTAGCTATTAAGGTCATCTTGATCTATTGAAATTGATTAAGTTTTTTTTGCTTATTATTTCACTTGAAAATTTCTTATAACATTATTACGATTCTATGAGATTATTATATAAGAGTATTCCCTCTCTTCCACCTTTATTCATATCAGATAAAATTTGAAATACGAGAAAAATAGGACATCAAATATCCTGTATGCAATGATAAATAGAAGCGTTGTTGTTATTATTTCTCTTTGCAATTAATTTTTATCAAAAAAGCGAAGAAACCTGAGTCAATAACCATATTGCGTACGAACCAAATCAGAGTTAGGTCAATATTGTACGAAAAAGTAAGTACAAAGATTTATGTCACGATAATTGCATCAGCTATTTTCAAAGTCATTTTCATATAGATTAAAACTTTTTATTACAGAGAAAACACTTTACTATTCGATTCGTTAACGAAGCTTATTGTGGGTTAAGCACGTTTCTCATATGCGATTTGTCATGACGTATTTACTGATCGCCACGTATCAAATTGCTGACGTTGTTCCTTAAGCACAGAATGTTTCTTTTTTGTTTCTGCTGACGTCAAATGAATACTGTTATCATCACTATGAAGTTTGCTATGTCATTTTTCTTTTAAAGCGACTAAGTACGAACGTGACAGGACAAAACAAGCAGGTCATGATGATTAAGTAAATCAATAAATGATTAATAATTTTCCTATCTATATTAATTTTTTTTTATCAATACTTGCTTCCAACATAAATTATCTTTTTTTTCTTGTCTTTATAATGATCTGATTTTTCATGAATAAATGTTGACGTTTAACTATGAATTTCGCTAGATAAATTTCAATTACTGTCAAAAATAATCAGGAAATTTTTGATCATCATTCTTTTCCGTCATATCTGTTTTTCTATTGCTCAAGAATTATAATTAGCTCAATTCAGATAATAATCCGTCAAAGATTGCCACGAAAGATAGATTTGTTAATTAAGAAAAATGCATCTAGAAAAGACAACTTATCAGTTTCTATTTTCGAGTGCATCTATCGACCCTTGTAACTAGAGTTTAGAGAGTCATGTCTCAAAATATCAATAAAAAAGAGGCACAAACAATAATATTAGATATTCTTTTTGCTACGATGTTGTCTAGGAAAACATTGTATCCATAAGCTATTGCGATGCACAAAGAGTTTATTTATTCGTCTAGCTTTGTAATTGATTGAGTCGATTGTATCAAAATAAATCTATGAATGTTTATTTCTACTGAACAATCTGAATATTGTTATCACTAATTGCACATCATCCAAGAAACATTTCTATATTTAAAGAAACTATTTCTATCTATTATAATTCACCATGGGCAACAATTTTTCCATTGTATATTATAAATTTTCTTTTTTCTCGAATATGATTGTAATACAAAACAAAACAATATTATCGACTACAAAAACATAGTACAGATAGATTGTTGTTACCAGAAAACAAATAATAAGAATCAAGATGGGAGCTCATTTTTTATACACTTTTATGTCGACAAATTAGATTACATGATAAAATTGATATCATATTATTATATGAGGAAGTACACTTGATTTCATTTTTTTTACAAGTCAATATTGAGACAACTATAATATAAAAATAAGTTTTTCCGCAATGTAGAAAATATTTCTTAACTTAGAACAAGCTTCAGAACACAATCATTTTATCGTTACTAGTAAAGAATCAAGAATGATATGTTTTTATCTGAGAAAAATTTAGGCTTCACGTTTTTTTTTTATCAACTTTACTTTGCGCGTTCTGTTGTAAGATGAAATAAACTATTGAGACAAATATGTTTGGACGAATATTAAAATCTATTCGATAATTAAAGACAGAATATGTTGCTTATATATTTCTTTTATTTTTCTCTCTTAATAAACCACACATTCACATCTATTTGTTGACAAAGACGTACTCATTCCTCATGCAGGTACTTGAAATATTTTGCATATTGCCCTTTTGTTTCTCTCTCTTTCTTACACTCCATTTGCCAAGTAATGTGATGAATGTTTTAATAAAATATATAAAAGCAAACACAAAAACAACGCAAAATAAGATGATGAAATGCCTGTCGGTCATAATAACAATAAAATACCCGTTCGTTAAACAGCCAACAGGTATATAAAACGACATTCTTCATATGCTCAGCCATTTATTTTTCTTTTACACTTGATCCTTTTCTATTTTCTGTACGTAACGATTCATAGCAACGAAGAACGGAAAAGGAAAAAATAAGCGAAGGCAAAAAAAGGCAGATAAACGTAGCCATGCACAAACTGAATGATATTTAAATAAAAATTTTGTAAGCGTTTTAGACAAGGTCAATAAAAAAAGAACCGTCTGCTCTCGTGACCAAGTCATTCCTTTCTACGGCGATAGATATTTCTTTAATAGAAGCATATAAAAAGTGCATATTTATGAAAAAAAAAACAATGCACAATATTTCACAACTATTACAATGAGGTCGGTGTTTTGTTTATATTTGCATTTATTGATTGCTTCGTTTTTTTTTGCCTTTACAGTACAACGGTCTTACAAAATACTACGAACGTCAATCACGTTCGTTTCAATTTAACATTAGTTCGACAGTAAATATCTTGTATTAAAATAATTTCAAGTATGTTCTGATGTTTATTTTCTTTTTTAAAGTGCTGAAACGCATGCAAATGCTGAAGGTATTATTCAAGGTTTATTAGATACTGAATTATCCAATATTGGCTATCTTCAATCACAAGCACTCGGTCAATATCTTCAATATCATCGTTTTTCACATATCTATTCAAGCGACCTAAAACGAACAACAGAGGTATGTGGACTTTTTTCCTTTTATTGTTTTGTTTCTCTAGAATAAACAAATGATAGATAAATTTGTCTTTGTCCTTATGAAAGTGACAAGCTATTATAATGGTAGAGAAGGTATATAAGTTGCTCTTGTAGTTATTTCATATATATGACATATGTAAGAATATTATAAAAGCTATCTATCTTTGGGTTCTTTTGGATATAGTAGAGTAAAGATGATACATAAATAATTTGGAGGATAATTGGAAGCGAGTAATAAATACCAGATGCCATTAATAGAAAAGTATCTATTCAAATATTTTTCTTTTCAATAAAAGAAAATGTTGTGAACTTAGAATCTCGGTTAGAATTTTATCATATGAATCGAAAACATATCTTCAAATTTTCTATTAAAAATAAAATTCAACGTTCATGAATGTCATTCACAGAGATGCAGAATCTTCCTCATGCGCTCCCGAGCGGGGGGGAGGGGGGAATTTTTTGAAAAACTCAAATAATAGGGAAATTTTGGGAAAACCCACTGGCCAAAATAAAATACAGTGGGGAAATTTTTTAAAAAACTTTTTTGCGTGGGGGAAATTTTTGGATTTTTGGAAGATTCTGCACCTCTGGTCATTCATCTCTGAGTCAATGAAAAATTTAATTTTTTTTTCTTTTATATATTCATATCTATTCATCTTATTTATTAGTCCTGCTCGTCAGGCTTATTTATAATATTTTTTTAATAACAACCTTTCAGACAGCTCGTCAAATTCGTTCATTCAATCGTGTATCATCATGCGAAATACAATACGATTCTTTATTACGCGAACGAGTACGTTACCTTTTTTTTTTCTATACTATTTAGTCGAAATTATTCATTTTCAAAATTATTTTAGATGTATGGTATTGCAGAAGGTCGAACACGTCAATGGTTACGTGAATTAGCAAAAGAAAATGGTATTCCTTATATAAATTTTATACCTTCAGGTGCTGAAAGCACAGCTCAAGTACGTGAACGTGTTATACAATTTTTTCGAAATTTATGCCACGAACTTCTTGAAAACTCTCATACAAATTCATCAGTCTCATCATCATCACCAGTAAAATTTTATATACCTAGTTTATTATCACAACAAGATAATGAACAATCTTTATTACGTAGTGTTTCGTCAGAAAATTTAATATCATCTCAACAAACCATAACAAATTCAACTCATAAACGTTCATTATCAGCAAGTAATATTCAAATTAAATTAACAACAAATATAATAAAAACAACGTCATATCAGTCATCTTTTGATTCGGCACTTGACCTATCATCTGTAACATCTGATCAACAATCAATATCATCATCAATATCACTTTTTTCACGTCATAGTAGTTTTGAAAAGCATCCAAATTTATCTAAAGATTTATTGAATTCACCATATAAAAATAATTTCTCTGATCTTGATATACTGATTGTTAGTCACGGAGCTGTTATACGAGAATTTATTAAATATTTTGCCTGTGATTTACAAGCCGATATAGGACAACATTTAAATACTATACAAGATATAGCACCAAATACGTCCATAACACGTTTTGAAGTAACTTATTCAATGAATGAAGATCCAAATCCAATGACTATACTGAAGTTGATTGATTATCATAATAAAACACATTTAATTAATGTTAATAACAATGAGTACAATTTAGATGTGATCAATAAATGTAATCTGTAATTATATATATATATCCAAGAAACAATATTTTGAACTCGATACACTATTGTTTCTGTTTTCTTGTTCGATCTGTATACACTTAAATGTATGTCAGATAAGATATATTCTTTTTATTTATCAATAAAAATAAAAAACAAAAATTTTAATTTGTCTATTATTATGATGAAATCGAAAAAGTTTTTGTATTTTTGTTGGTTGTATAACATAAGTCAATATTTGTTGGATATTATTTATTCAATCACATAGGATAGAATGTATTGAATATGACAACAACAATAAGTATGTCCTTGTTGTTGAAATGATAGAGTCAATGAATAATTCAATCAAGAATACTGTGTTCTATATTTCTCCGAATATTCAACGACAGTTTTCAACAACTGTTCTAGTGTCTTTCTTTTGTGTTCTATCGAACAGAACAAACATCTATTATGTCTTTTTTTTTTTACCGTATCTATGCTTTTTTTCTGACTCGGATTCTTTTTACCAACGAGTAACAAATAACGTTTAGTGACACATAAAGAAAATTCTCGGATAAGAAGAAAACGATTTATTAAACTTGTTGAATATACTTTTTCTTTTCTTTCTTTTGTGATTTACTATAAAGAGATTTATGTGACTAGATTTGTGGGAAAAGAATATGCTTTTATTCCCGTGTGATTTTTTGCCAATTGTTACTATACACATCACATTAAGAAAACTTAAGAAAAGAGAAGGGATGTAAAGAATAAAGAAGAAAAGAAGAGGATGACGACAAAGCAATAAAACCGAAAAAAAAATATGAACCATTGATGTGACGTCGAACAATAATCGACGAGAAAAGGACATTGTTTTCTCTACTGACTTTCTGAAACTACTACTTTTGTTCGTCTACGATAAGCAATTGCTTTTCTTTTTTTAATATATTTAACGAGAAAAGAAAAAAAAGAAGAGAAAGAATTATGTCGGTTTCGCTTTTATTATTTAACATGATTTTTGATCGAACATGTTATTCCATAAGTAAGTGACGTAAAAGAACTATTATGATCGATAAAAATGCAAACATTTATCCATCTATCGATTCCAATGAACTGTTAACAGAAACGGATGAGAAAATATGAAGACGTTTGTCTTTCTGATTTGCAATTTGGGACGTATTCTCTAGACTTAATGGTCTTAGCTATTCTTTTTCTTCTTGTTACTGTCTTTTTATTGGCAGCAAGGGAAAAGCAATCTGTAATAATAAGACGATGTTTGGTGGCAATGCCGGCACATTGGCTAATATGTGATAAATAGGTCTGATTTTGTTTTTCTAGAGCGTAAACAAGGGCACATGCCTATAAGTAATGTTGATAGAGTAGTTTGTGATGGTACTCTTGGCAAAAATGCTATTGATCGAGCGTGAATAAAACAGTATGTACTTCAGCAAATTGATATATATATATATATATATATATATCACAACAACCCATATATATATATATAAAGATATGTACTTTATTGTTTGTGTGCTATCCATTTAGATTATTTTCTTTTTCGAATATTATAATTATTATGCTTTTCTTTCGTCGTCGTGACACAACATTACGTCAATCGCACTTGACTGATCAAGAGCGATGTGTTCATGCTTGTCTTTTCTTTGCTTTTATTATACTTATTCTTACTATTGTTCTATTTTATTTTGCGGCAACTAATAAAGGTTCTAATGATCAACGTCTTTATTATTATATAGGCGCTGGTATTAGTCTTACTTCTCTTTTATTGATTATATTATGTACGATTTGTTATGTTCAACGATTGTATGATGGTCCATTATCCTCTCCACGACAACAAGGAATTATATCTGATATTGAATATGACGGTTCAAGATTTTCAAATCAACATTCGTGATAAGTTATTCTAAATTTATTGTATTATAGAATTTCAAAAAAGAACAATTAAACACTTGACTTGAAAATATTCAAACCCGTTAATTAAATAAACTATTGTATATTTTGATTTCATTATTCTTATTTAAAAAAAAAGAAAAATCGAATTTTCTTGTCTAACCAAGTAGAATGGAAGAAATGATTATTGTGTTATTTATATTAATGTGTCTAAAAATATCATAATAATTTATGATTTATGGTGTCAAAAACGTGATGTTTCAATCATGGATAAAAAAAAACAAAACATTAAACATACAGATAGTCCTGGCTGGAGAAAAACATTTGATAGTTCCTTTACATTTGATATATTTAGTTTCAAAACAAACAGAACTACTATTGTTGGTAATCTATTATTTTTTTTTTTAACCTTGGAATATGAGAAGGACATTTATGAATGTTTAGTTTTCGTCGCTTGCACTTTTCTTTTGCCTTAACTAAGGAAAATTTCCATTCTTTCGTTTTTTTTTGTTGTCACATATATATTTAAGGACATGTTTTAATTCGATTTTTTGTTTAATAATAAAATTCTTCAATAACAAATATCAAGCATGTAAATATTAGATAAAAATTAAATAGAATGTGTCTTACTCAAAAAATGATTGTTCTGCTTGTAATATTTATGTTGTATTAATATTTATAACTTATCAACAATGAATCAATCAAAAACTTGTATGAATGAAGCGGGAAAATAAAAGGTTCATACTTTTGTTTGTTAAATTTATATTCTCTTAAAATTACTTTTCTTTTGTGAGTGGAAAGATCTAAATATTTTTATCAATAATCGTGAACAAAAATTTTTTTTAAGATTGTTTTAATTGGTAACATTTGTTTTCTTTTATTGAAAACAGATTGTTACAGTATTTTTTAAATTTGCTTATATGAAATCATTCGGATTGTGGAAGATATTGTGCTTTGATCTTGAAAGAAAAACACGTTCTAGATGTTGCATTCACTGTTGAATTGAATATAGATAAATGAAAACAAATCATGCATAAGATTATTCTACAAAATAGAATTCTTTTTCTTGAAAAATAATAATAAAATATTTAACTGCAAACTTATTTTGTAATGTTGACAAGAATGAAAAGTCGCACTAATGACATAGCTGATTATCTCAAGGGTATTAAATAATACTAAATAATCTAAACGCATCAGAACTAATATTAGAGTAAGATCAAACAAGATTATCAATGATAAGATGTATATATATATATATGTGGGTATACTAAAGATAAGAGCACCTAGCCTAAAAACTCATTGAGAAAAGTGATAATGAGAAAAATAATATAGTACAAAAATGTATTAATCTGTGTTGAAGATAAAATGATAGATATGATGACATGATACGTCAGTGCTAAAACTTTCTATAAATGTGGCAGTCATAGAGCTTGATCGAAGAGGCTGGAGTATACAAACATCTTCGCCCTCTTTCTGCATCGTGTCTGCAGAAGTCTTGTGCTATTATTGGAAAACTGCCCGCAAAATTTTAGAAAGCAACTTTTCTCATTCATTTTCTGCCAGACAAACTGCATCCAATGGTCTGTCAAATCTGTAGCTCTTTTCACTTCGAAAAACTATCGAAAACGCTGGTGAGTGTTTTCAAATATAACTAAACGTCTCTGATAAAGTCTTTTAGAAAAGTATCCTCAATGATTTGATAAGTTTCTAATTATTAGTAATAATGTAAAATGAATGATAATGTATGACACATGATTTCAACAAAAAAAAACTCTACTATTATAACTACACAGATTGGTCTCAAATAAGAAGCTATATTCAATATTGTTGCAAACAGTGACAATATTTTGATTTGCAATTGGCAAATCAAACAGTAGTTTTAAAGTGTTTGTAATTCTATATAAAAAAATAAGCATTATCAAGGTAATGGAAATATTTGGATTATCAATAACAAAAAAAAATTACTTTGCTTAACATAAAGATTTTCAATGATGAAAAATGTCATTGAATGTTTATTGCTGTTGCAATTACTTTACTGTTCTGTGATATCTTCAAAAATATTTCGTTTTTGCAAAAGTCGTGATACATTAACAAAATTCGAAAATTATTTTGATTTTATTAAATTTTTCTTCTTTGTGCATATTAGAATTCCAAATAAGCCAGTTTATGTAAAGATCATATAATGTTTAGTCATAAAAGACTTATGAAATGAAAGTTCATACAGAAATTAGTGTCAATTGTGAAGATAAAATAAATATTAATAGAAACCAATTATCTGTTGATGATTCAAGCATATATGTATTTTATTTAAGAGAAGCCGATAGAAGACTCACCGATCAGTTAAACTCAGATAATAAAGTTCACTCATCAGTATTACTACAGAATGATTGCAACAAATAAAGCTGCGAACAAATAAAGCATATTCGTCTGCTATAGAATCAAAGCAAATAGAGATGTCCAGAACGGAAGGAACGATGACCTCTTTCCAATCTTGCAATTTTCCGTTTTTACTTCGCAAAACTGAACGATTTTATTCATTTTGTTTTGCTTACCAATCCTACAGCAAGGGCCAATCCTCTCAATGTCATGAACCTTACTTTCGCAGTAGTTGCCATCTCTAATCTAAGCAGCTCCGGGGCATCCTTGAAAGTAATATATAAATGAATATAAGCATAACAAAAATTTCTTATCGAAGATTTATAGAATAAATAAAAAGCGAAAAAAAAGTTCAAACAAAAATGAAAAGAAAAATAAATACAAAAAAAAGTGTTGTGCTAGTATTGCTAAATAGTATTTCGTGTTTGTCTTTATTCAAAATATTGATCATCAAAATTCTGAGTCAAATATTTCTTAATTGATCCTTGTATTAATTTCATATTCAAGTTATCAAATATTTTTAATGTACAATATTCTTTGTAGAAAAATGATATATTTTGTATATCCATTATAAAAATCTAACTTTTCTGGTAGGAGTGCATTCTACGAAACATTGTGTTGAAAAATTTCTTTTGGAAAAAATTCTGACATCGAATTTATCTTTTCTTTCATCAAAAGAAAGTATTTCTCGAAAATATTTCAAAACATGTGAAAATCCCTCTCATATTTCCATCGATATAAGACCTAAGTCGTATTCTTGGTTAATTGAAATATAATCATAAATGAAAAGAACTTTTGTGAATAAATGAGAACTAGTTGTACCCGTAAGCTATATTTTCTGAAGAAAGACGCTTTAAGAAAAGACTAACGCTTTTCTTACATTTTATGCTAGAAAAACTAATTCTGGTAACTGATAAAGTATGTCTTGTCGACTTAGTTTAACTAAAAAAAAAAAGTAGAAGATGAAAATCTTTTAGTCACAGATAAACGCTGAATGATGAAGCCTATCTTATATCATATACGAGAAAAAAAATTTTTTTTTTCATTAAATAATTTCTCATTTATTTTAGTCGTCATTAATTGAAGAACATGCTTTACATTTGATTTTTGATAATTTTTCTTTCGTTTTCTTGTTTATATCGAACTTTGATCAGCTTATTGCGTGAGTAAAAATAAACCATTGTTCCTATGAGTGCTCTCAAAGATAAAAGAATACTTCACCCTATTCTCCGAAGAACATACTCGATTATTAACTGTGAATAGATATTTATATTCGTTGAAAAGGAAATGAACTCAATTTCAATGACTTTTTTTTTACTAGAACGTACTAATTTATTATCTCCAAATATATTCATAAAGTGTTTGCAAGTACTATCAATTTCAATTGATGGAGTATAAAAGTTTGATACACACGACCTCTTTCGAAATGTTTTGGATTAGATTAGAATCTGATCAACAAAATATTTACGTTATTTGCACTTACTTACAGATATTATATACATGTATACCTATGATTAGTAGTTTTATTAGCATTATTTATTTCTATTTCACATGAGTTGAATATGCATAGATGACGTGATCACGATAAGGTAAAACTCTTCCGTAGGGTTTTATATAATGCCTAGGAAATTAAGAATTATTTATTAATCATCTTTCTTCATTACGAGCGCCCTTTCTTTCTTTTTTTTTCCCTAGATGAAAAATCCATATAAACACTTCAGAAAATGAGACAGTACACTTATTATTTAATAAATATTAGTATAAACTCATGGAAACTTTTTCTGAATAATTATTTTTACCATCGTTCTTTATTTTCCAAGAGAAAAAAAATATTAATATCATATAACTAACATACAGGAATAGAAAGATCCAATTATCTTCATTAGAAAAAGAAAGAAAAGACCCGTGAGAAAAGTAAGGGAAAAAAAGTTCATATTACATATCTTTATCTTTCTCTGAAGAAACTTTGTCAGACGAAGTAGTTCGATAAAGTATTGAGGAAATTAGTTTTCGATCATTACCATTTGTTGATAGAAGATTTAGAAAAGTATTTTCATTTAATGTTGGATCAGAAGAAAGCCGCTTTTCTGTCTCATTGATTTGTTTTGTATTCCAGTTTTTAAGCCAAACATAATGAAATATAGACATAAGACGATTTGTTTCATTTGATTTATTTGAAATTTGATTACAAAATGTTTCCCATCGTCGATTAGGTTCAATAGGTGGTTGTGGGTGATCGACTTTTTTTAAACGATCAATTATACGGTAATCATTTGGATTAGTATAATTTTCTTTATTTACTTTTGGTAATTGTTTTTTTAAGCGTGCTTCAAATAATTGCCAATGACGATCTTCGACTCGTTGTCGAATCGTGTCTGTTGATTTGTTTATTGTACGTGTATGTTCATGATCAGATTTTATTTGTTGCTCTTGTAAAGAATTAAGTTGTGTAGTTGAAAATGACATTCTTATTCTAGAATATGTAAATTCGATCCATTAGAGTTTGTCAAAGAAAGTGACACGATGTTTTTTCTTCGTATCACCTTGAAAGAAGGATTTGTGATAAAATTACTCTTTTTTTAAAGCATTCGACACCAGACAACTTACTCCGAATAGTCGTAAAAGGTTAACTATATATATATTTTTTCCTTTTCTGTCTCATTGTTTTATGTGAATTTTTTTTTCGTTTATACATGTTTATCCATGTAGAAGAAAAAGAAAACGTAGAAAGAGAACAAACGAATATTTTATTCTGTAGGAGATCGATGAGCTTGACATGTAAAAGTAAAAAAAAAAATGGAAATAATAGATAATAAACGACATTATAAAATATATATGAGTATTTTCAACTAACCTTGAACACATCAAGTTTATGCTTGTGATCACAATCGGTGCCAGGCGTATACTTTTTTCCCTTTATTCTTTCGTCATTTTTTCATATGAAATTGTCAAGAGCACAAATAAAAAGAGGACGAAAGAAACAATGTGTAAAATGAATGTTATGTAGGGCGCTTTTTCCTTTATAGTATTCATTCATTCATGCATAGAATTAATGTAAAAAAAAATGTGAATCAAAGAAGCATAAAGAAGAAAAAAAAATTTTTTTAGATTATCGTTTCTCATCTAGAGATATTGTTATGCGTGTGATACTCTTCTTAATCGTCTTTTGTGCATTAGTTAATGGTGATTGTACTTTTCGTCCTAACGATTCAAAGGTTCTTCAAGACAAAATAAAACAATGGAAAATATATAATAAAATGTGAATAAACTTGTTATTATTTGATAATTTATTATTTATTGTTTTCTTTCTTTTCTTTTCTTTTCCATGTAGTCTGATAAAAAATACGTCAACAGCAGCGTACCAAATTGGAATTTGTTTAGCACCTAGCAATTCTAATATTTCTGGAGCTATTATACAAAAAGAAAACAATGATAGTTATGCTCTCGGACAATTAAATGAAGCTAATATTGTTCAAGGAGGTTAAACATATTATTTTGATTTTAATTTCAAATTAATACGATTTTATTAATAGCTAATTGGATACTTCTGACATATGAAAATGGTCATCGATATGTCAATCAATGTAATAATAATACGCGTTCAGCTTCAATTTTGTTTATTTGTGGACAAAATACAGTAAGATAAAGACTTTTATTTATTTTAACTAAAAATCTTTACGATAGAATTTTTCTGTGTTTGGAAGTCTTAGAAGAAAAAAATTCATTAGAATAGATTGTATAATCTGATAGAAAAAGGAATAAAAATAATAAATATATTGCTGTTCTTTTATAGTATTATTTTTGACATTTTTAAACATGAAAAAAAACAGATATACCATTCCCAATTTATATATATATATATATATTCTAGATAAAGCACATTTTATTACATTATAATATAAAAAAGAAAAAAATGGAAGACTTTGATTGTGAGGCAGGAAGTGGGTATCCGCATAGTTTAGTCTGAAGTGTGTCATTTGTCAAATATATATATATATGATGTATTGGCTTACCAGAGAATGTTTTCAATTGATCAATCGTTTTCCTACTGAAAGCTAGTCAATTGTAAGTTATGAATAGTGCTGATTTCAAATATGACTATGAGGAATTTCCTGAGGTCTTCCTTTTTCTAAACAACAAAGCTTCCCACCAAATATTGTTTTTGTTCTATCTAGATTATAGAACAATTAAATTCCCTCGAAAACAGTATATTTTGTTTTTTTATATCAACTCGTTATTTCTAGAGAAAATAGAACCATTTTAATTAATTTACTTAAAGCTGATGGTTGTAAAACCGAAAAGATTATCGATTTAGAGACAATTTCATATGTTTATGTAATGCAAGTAGATTAAAAACGATTTTAGAACAATGTTTATTAATCTAGAAAACTAATATATTAAGACCTAAAGAAATTAGCCATGGTCATATTCCAAATCCGTATAATCAATAATTTAGAATCTATTATCTTTCGGTGAAAAAGCAATTGATCACTTGGAAATATTCCCTCATTAGATAAAACCTTTTGATGGCTCGTTTCTCTTTCATCTATCAACAAAAAAAAACTCATTGAATTCAATGAATACACTCGTAAAAAGCGATGAACAATTTTTTTTTCTTCCAAACAACAAACGAAGGTTCAAATTATATATAAATTCTATGGTATATTCCAATGTAAAACTTCATTGTAAAAAACAGAATGAATTGTATGTAAAAATATGTTGACTATAAGTTGTTTTTGTCTTTCAGGATAATATTACAGTAGTTCAAGAACATACAACTAAAGATCAACATTGTAATTATCTGTTTGAAGTTCAAATCCCTGAAATGTGTCCGGTTGTTCCACAAGAGAAAAAAAGCATGAGTGGTGGTGCCATATTTCTCATCACGTAAATTATTATATTGAATTTCCGATTATTAGCTTTCATCTTTAACATTCTCTTTCTTTTTAGTATTTTTTGTTTAGCTTGTGCTTATTTAATTGGTGGCTTTTTCTATATGCGTATAATACGTGGTGCTCGTGGTGTTGATCAAATTCCAAATCTCGAAATGTGGCGTAAATTAGGTCATTTAGCTGCTGATGGATGTGATTTTTGTTGTCGTTGTAATGGAAATACACCAAGACCAGGATATTATTTTGATGAAACAGGACCAGATACACGCGGTGACGATGATATTCTTTCTCCATAATATTAAACTTTATAAGAAATCAAAAAAAAAAAAAGAAAAAGATGAGTGAATCTCCGATGATAAACTTCAACTGACATATAATGATCTGTTATGGTGTTGTGTAAAACTGCTTTCGCTTTATCCTTTGTCTTTCATAAGTTACTTTTTATTTTGTAATGTTATTGTTCGTTCTTAACGCATATGTATTCGCGAGTGTAACTTGGATAAAAACTAAAATAAAGCAACATTCAATAAATTTCGGTTTTTCTTTTTATTAGAAAGTTTATTAAAGTTTTGTTTTCTTTTATATTTTTTAGTAATGCAAACGCCACCTATATTGCAATCAATACGATATGAACGTGGTTCATTGTCAATTTTGGATCAATTAAAATTACCAGATGAAACAATTTATATATCGATTCATACAGCTGATGATGCATGGAAAGCTATTCATACAATGTCAATTCGAGGTATGAATAATAAGAGTATAAAATTAAATATTTGACTTTTCTTCAGAATTTATTTAAATAAATTTTTAAAAGCTATCATACACTAAAAAAAAACAGAAAAAAACTTACCATAAGATTAGATCGATATAAAAAATTAGTAAATATATACATATGTTTCTTTTTTGTTATTTTTAAGGTGCTCCAGCTATTGCTGTATGTGGCGTATTAAGTGTTGCTGTTGAATTACATAATTCAAGATCGAAATTTGATTCAATATCATCTGTTATACAATTTGTGACAGATCAACTTAATTATTTAGTAACTGCTCGACCAACAGCAGTTAATATGACTGAGGCTGCTAAAACAATCATTGATTATTTAATACCATTAAGTAATAAACAACAAAATTTAACATTATATATTGATGAATTACTTGATTTTATGGAACAATTTCTTCAACGTGATCTTACTGACAATCATTTAATTGGTCAATATGGTGCTGAAGTCATATGTCAAAATGTTTCAAATAAAAAAAAATTAAATATTTTAACACATTGTAATACAGGTTCATTAGCAACTGTTGGTTTTGGTACTGCTCTTGGAGTTATACGACAATTAGCTGCAAATAACGTTCTTCAAATAGCTTATTTTACTGAAACTCGTCCATATAATCAAGGTTCAAGATTAACAGCCTATGAATTAGTACATGATCGTATTCCTCATACAATGATTTGTGATTCAATGGCTGGTCTTTTAATGCGTACACAACCAATACATGCTGTTATTGTTGGTGCTGATCGTGTTACAGCTAATGGTGATACAGCAAATAAAATCGGTACATATCAATTAGCTATACTTGCTAAACATCATCATATTCCCTTTTATGTTGCTGCACCAACAACATCAATTGATTTAACTAAAAAATCAGGCGATGAAATTATTCTTGAACAACGTCCATCAAGTGAAATGACTACTATCAAAGGGATTAATCTTGCACCAGAAGGTAAAATATTTATATAAAAACAACACAAAACAAAATATCAATATTTATCATGTTATTATTGCTAATATTTTTTTTTAAGGTGTTCAAGTTTGGAATCCAGCCTTCGATGTAACACCTGCTTCATTAATAACTGGTATTATAACAGAACATGGTGTATTTAAACCTGATGAGCTTGAAGAAAAATTGTTAACTTTACAACGAACAACAAATAGCCCATTATAGTGATTTAATACACAGACAAACAGTAATTTATTGTTGTATTCTATATTTGCATTTTGTCTTTATTATATTTTATGTTAGTAAAATCAATAAGTAAATAGAGTAAGGTGATTGTAAAATGGAGCCAAACTAAGGAAAATTTATTGAAAGAAAATTCAATTTATTTTGTGAGTTTATTATAATTTAATCTTATTAAAATATATTGAAGTTTATCAAATGAAATTTTATATTATGAAGCATAATGAGTTCATGGAAAAACATTAAATAAAAGAATATATGTCAAAGATTAAATTTAAATATGTTCTGAAGAAATCAACAATAGCAAATATATATATGTATCGTTTTCATCAATTTCGATGTCAAAAATCAAGGTGAAATCAAATCGAAAAGATAATACCTGATAAAGATGAAGTAATAATATAAATGGTTCAAGATTGCAAATAATAAATAAAAATAAGAGGTACCTGAAATACACTTACTGACCAAAGATTTTTCCTTCCATTGGATCTCAGTCATCATAAGGAATGGAGATTTGAAAACTTATGTCCATAACTCATCAGACGTGTGAGTCAGCTATACTATCAGGATCTCACTTAATATCAAAATATAGAAAATGATTCTCTAAGGTTTTCAAGTTAATATGTTGAACTCTCATTGAGTTATGGTCTTGAAAGAGTAACAGATGATTGTTTTTTTTTGTTGTACAGCTATGATTATAATAAAATGACGAGCATCCTTGAAGAGATTGACGAATCTTGTTGAAACTTGTATGACTGATAGCTGAAAACATGATAAGTACGTAGACTGACAACGTCCTTCAGTTCGATGTTCTGAAGCTCAAATCAAACATTGACACAATCCATCATACTTTAATGTCTATTGAAGCAAGCATGGTGCAAGTAGTTCCATTAAACAACAGTCACGGATATAAAGTTTTCAGACATCTATCTTTATGGTGACTATAATTCGATCGAGAGAGAAAAAAATTTCGTCCAGAAATGTAGAATCAATATTACAATATTAAGTGCATAGAATCTATTAATCACACGAATTATTTAATTTTTATTTATTGAAGCAACTTTTATTTTTCAATATTTAATTTGATCGAATGATTTATTTTAGACAAGAAATAATAACAAATAAGTATTTATTTACATAATTTGTTTTATATTTTTTATTATCTTGATCTAAGGTCGACTATTTCGATCACATTCAAGTTGGCATTCACGAACAAGTACACGAGCTGAAGCAATAGCACGTCTTAAACGTTCAGCTGAATTTTTATTTCCTGCATATGTTGGTTTGATATCTTTGCCCATTTCTTCAATAACATTAAGTAATTGAACATATTTTGATTGATGCATAACACGTTGTTGATGTTGTTGAACTTGATTTAATTGTTGTTGAACAGCAGGAGGTACAGGAACATATTGATGAGATTGTTGTTTAATTTGTTGCTGAGAAATTGAATTATGCGAAGGAATAGTGTTCGCTGTTGTTGTTGTTGCTGCTGTTGCTGTTGAAGGAGGAGGAGGTAAATGAGGAGAATTTCGACCAGGTGAGCCTTGTAACATACTAGTTGGTGCTGCTGGATTTAAAATAGGTCGTGATGGAGGAGCTGGTGACGGTTGTTGTTGTTGTTTACGAACTGTTAAATCCATTTGTTTTTTTTTCTTGTTTTTTGTTTTTTGTATTAAGCAAAAGAAAAAAAAGTTAACCAAATATAAATCTAAAAATAAAAGATCTATATGCATAAAGAAAAAATATATATATACACATATAAATGAGAATTCATTGTTTTGTTTTTGTATTTAAATATTAAAGATCTATTTAAGGTAAAAAAAAAAACTATTATGTTGATGATAAAGGACGAATCGGTGGCAAACGAATAGGAACAGGTAATTGATGTTGTGGTAAAGTAATTGATGGACTATCTAATTCCAATATTTGAAGTTGACAAAGTAAATTTAATAATAATTCCATTTCTTCTCGAGCATAAAAACTATCCATCTATATTAAATAGAAAAAAATAAAATAAAATAAAATTCTACAATTATTTTTAATATTACTTCTTTATGTAAAAGTATATTAAATCCATCACTCCAACATGACATATCATAATCATTCTCACCTAATAATGTATATGTTGTATCATTATGAAGAATGATTGTTACACTCATATGTGCATTACTCTATTTAAAGAATACATGATTATATTATTTATTATCATGAGTTAAAAAGAAATGATAAATATTCACATGACGAGGAATTTTTGGAATTCGTTCTTGTGTATTCAAATTACCGGAACGTAATTGATCAATATTACATTGTACATCTTTGATATTTTCAAGTGGAACTAAATCAAATTTCTTGTAGAATTATTCAATATGATTTTAATATTTATATTAAAAAGAGAACAATACATATTAAGACTTTTCTGGTAGAATTAATTACTTTTAGTCGATAGAATGAAATATTTATTGCGAAAAAAAATGATTGTTTTTTATTATTTTTATACTCATTGTTAAGTGATCTTTAAACAATATAAATTTTCATTAACGTTTTACCTCTTACATGTCACTAGAGTAATCATTTGTAGATCGATTACAAAAAATTAATGATACACAAAATTTCAACACTAAAAAAAGCATGTTTTGTAATTAACTTCATGACCTATTGATTAATAAAGAAAAGATATTGCATTTCATTGTTTCGTCTGAGAAAATGTCGAGTTTATAAAATTAGTAGTTTTGCAAAAATGATTTTTTTCAAATAAAATATTTTCTAACTTCAATCAATAGACTTCTTTGGAATTTGTTTTGTGATATAGATTGACGAATTACAAAACAATTAGGTTCAAAATGAACTATGTTGTCACTATTTTTGATAGACAGAAAATAATTAGGAATATAATACAGTGCTTCAAAGAAAAATATATAGGTCATTATTTAACAATATGTCGAAAATACATATACTATGTCAAAATTAGTTTTTTTATATAATTATCTCCTGCTTTTTTGACTACTTAAATAGCATGAGATATAAGCTGTTTTTTTCCTACTGAATCGTGCTATGAAAGAAAAAAAGAAAATCCAAGTGTTTCATGTCATTTAATTCTTATTTTCCAATATATAGTCATTGAAGTACTCAAAATCACTCTATATCAAGAACAAAATATTTAATGAATTTAACCATATAGTTAGCATATTGGAAAGTAAAGAATTAGCATACTCATTGTTCTAGTAAGACTTGTTGTTGAACTATCTCTTGTATTATTTTCTTTGATGACTGTTGTTGGTGATTCACTACATTGTACATGTTTTTCATTATCAAGTAATTGCCAATACATTAAACGATCTATTTACAAATCAATTAAATATTACTATTGTATATAGCTAAAAATAGTATAATTACTTTTTGTTTTTTTTGCACCAGAACGACTCTCATAAGTCATAAATATTTGACCTTTTTTCATTGTTTTAAGACGAGCTTGACGTGTTAATGATTGAACATGTGATCTTAAACGTTCTTTCAATGTTCTAAAGTCATAAATATTCTTCTTTTTTTTTTTTTTTTTTGTATTTAATTGAATAAAAATTCATACTCAACAATAGGTAATTTCATAGTTGTTTCTTCTCTTTTTAATTCTTGTTCATCACGTCGTCTACATATATCTTTATAATTATTTGTATTTAATCTTTCAGAAAAATAATCAAATGTAAATCGTTGTAAAATTATTGATGTTAATGATGTATTTATTGTTGATTTAATCGCTGGTAATAATAATGTTTGAGTTTTTAAAGGTGAATATGATGATATGATAGTTTTATTTGTTATTGTAGCTGATGAATTCATTAAAGAAATATCATCTAGTGATTGCGAAATTTGTTGATGTACAACTGAACTAACCTAACATATAAAAATAAATAGAATATATTGATTTATTTTAAATGATAAAAATTTAAATCATACCACTTGAAAATCAATATCACAAGCACGCATTTCTTTCCATGTTTTATTAAATAAAAGTAAACAACGGACAAATGCTTGTTCAAAAAATGATGATACTGTATAGAAGAGTAAGAAATAATCCTTATGTATTTGATGTCGATTTGCTAAAGAATTTTTTTCTTTTTTTTTCAAATTCTTAATATTTAAATAAAATATTTACGTTCAACACCAATGTAAAAAAGTTTACAAAGTATTCGTGTAATTTCAATAGCTGATTTAACTAATGGACATTGTTGTTGAAGTGTTTTACATGAATTTTCAAGAACAAACTAAACATAAATTATATATATTAAAAATAAAAATATTTTCAATTTAAACATACGCGAATAAAATCATTTTTTTGATGAATACAAAAATAAAATAAATTTTGTAATGATAAAATACCTGGTGGAATTATTTGAAAATCTTTTATAGGTTCTCGAAGATCCTAAAAAAAATAAATTTTAGTCCAATTTACAAAAATTCTTTTCTTTTGGAAAATTTTTACTTGAAATCCAAGTCGTTCATAATCACGTTGTAATGCTTCAACTCGACGAGGATTCATGGTTGATATTGATATTGTTTCATTTATATTTCCTGATGATACTCGAGTATTTAAATCTTGACAACTTTGATCAGATAATAATAAATCAGTATCAAATGCACTTCGTCGTAGTTCCATAATCATATCACGATATTTCTATATATATATTTTTATTAAAATGATGAAAAATTTTTCAAATAAATTTTAAATTCCAACCGTATCAAATCGATCTGGTGATGTATTCATTGAATTTGTATATAATTCATTTAAATAAAATCTTTGTAATAGACATAATTGTTGAATAAGTGAAGAACGAGTAAGATGCTACAAAGAGAAATATTTATTATTTATTGCTAATTGCAAAAATAAAATTTAATAAAACTTCAATTTTATATTTCGAGAACTTCTATATCTGTTAAATTGTTATAACGAACATACTTTAGAAAATCACTAATTACTATGAATTAATTCACTAATTATATTCTATAGGTTTCTGAAAGTAATATAATACTGTAAAAAACATAGTCATTGATTGATAAATACTGTCATCAATTTTACGATAGTATATCGTTTTGGCAATAATTCAGATTCAGTACAATGTCACAGTGAGAGGTACTTGTGCAAAGCGAGACAATGTATAATAGAGCTCTGCATAGGACTTCGAAAGTCAATGAAGTCTAAATGAATGTGAGGAACTATTTTTAAAAGTTACACGAGTAAAACAATTGAGTGTTTTTATTCTCACATAATAATAAATTTATTCTTCATTTGTTAAGTAATCAACAATAATACACTACTTTATAGATTCATAAATTTTGAGAATAAAAACAAAACATCACAGAGATATTATCATTAAATTCCAGCACAAAGAGAAGTTCATATGCTACTCAAAAAAGTTGAGTCTATGGAACCGTAATGTGCAGTAAACATTATCCGTAAAACAAAAATAAAGAGAACATTTAGTTCGTTATATCTCGACCAGTAAGACTAGGATGTTTAGTGACGTATTCGAAACACGATCATTCAAGAAAAGTATGACTCGTCATATAGTAATTTGAGACTAATTGAATTCTATATGTGATAAGGTCTTACACTAGAGCGTTAGTTTGTAGCTATTAATGTTTTCGACATATAAAGCATAAGATTGTAATGAACTTAATACTGAATTAGAAAATAAATACGAACTCGTGTTGATTGCATTGAAGTATCCATAGATGTAAAAGAATCATTATTCGAATGTTCATCCTTGAACATACAAAATATTATCAGCAAAAAAAAAATGCAAAATTAGAGAAAATATAAACTCTTACACCAGTAATTATTAGTTGCACAAGTTCACGAAGACGTGTTGAAACAGTTATATTCGACATAGCTCTCACTAATGACTAAAATAAACATTTATTTAAAAAATTTTACAAAAAAAATAATTCACTTACTGAACGAACTATTTGATCACTTTTACTCATAATCACATTGATTAATGCCAACGCATAATATTGTGTTTCAATATCATGTTGTCTAAAATAAAATATTAAAAACTTCTCAATAATTCATTAAAAATAAAATGAAAAATTATCTCTACTTGTTACAATAATCAAGTAAATGTGATATTTCAAGTGTTTGAATAATTTTTGATGAATATTTTGATTCAATATTAATAATTGAATGAAGAATCATCATTGCTGATGATGAATGTAAACATGGAATTTTTGATGTATTAATACCGAATATTAACTAGATAATAAATTGAAATAATTTATTTGAATTTTATAGACGTTTTTTTTTTACTTGATCAATAATTGTATCAATAGATTCAAGATTATCCCAACGAATAGCTTGTTGATTTATCATTATATTATGAAGTGAACGAAGTAGATTTGGTGTGAAAGTTTCATAACTAAATTTTAATAAAAAAAAAAAAAAGAAAGAACCTATTTAGAATAATAAAACATAAAGAATTTAATGAACTAACTTGTTTAATTTTCCATCATTAGTAAATAATTTTAATAAATATTGAAGACCATTTTGTTTAACAAATTCAAGTGCAAATGTTTCATCTTCACCAGCTAATTTTAATCGTTCAAGTACAGTTGAATCATATCGTTGATAATCATTTGATCCAAGATATTTTAATATATCTTGAACTTCATCTTCCTTTTTTTTATAAATAGAATGAAAAAAAAAAGATTCTATAGAAATTAAAGATAATAATTTATTTACATGTGAAAGTGAAAGATAAAAAACTTGACCAGTAGGAATTTGAAAACGATTCTAAAACATAATATTTTCAATAATTAGAACAATAAGACAAAACTACAAAACATTATTTTACTTGTTCAGTAACAAATTTATGAGTATCATCATATCGAAGTGCATAATGAATTGAATTCGATAAAGGAATTTTCCAACTATGACAAGAAAAAAAAAAAAAAGAAAAATCCATAGATGAAAAAGATTATTTAACTGACTCATCACATATTTTTAAAATATAATCATTGAGTGGAACGTTCTTAGAGAGATCAAAAGTAAAAAAAACAGAAAATAGAAAATATTTTTTTTTTAAATATATAATAAAATACAAACAGGATCAAGTTCGATAAGTTTCGGATGACGAGGACTGGTCGAAGATGATATATCAATTGATAAAGAATTTTTCCAATGTACACCAATTTTTATTTTATTGTTCGATGCTCTTGCCATTAGTTTTTCTTCTCTCTACTTTTAATAAAATGATTGATTGTTACAAATTCTAATAGTTTGATGTGATAACGAAGAAATTTAATAAGACAAGAGTACGTACGAATAGAACGAGTGTCTACGATCTATTGATTGATATTTTATTTTTTTTTTAATGTCCAATCATCGGACATTATCGGTAGTTGTCGTTAATACCATGCGATACAAAAAAAATCTTCAAAAATATTGAATGGATTCTAATCTTTGTTGTTTGAAAAAATAAATTCAAAACATAAAAAAAGAAAGATTAATTTAACGATACATCATTTCCTAAACTACATACTCAATATTTTAACGTCATTGTGTTACAAAATATTATATTATCGATAAATACAAATTGTATGAACAATTATTAATAAATAAATCATTATTGATTTGTGACTTTTGATAATAGAATAATGATACTCAAAATAATTATAAACTGTAACAGATTTTTTTAAAAGCAATGTCATAATCTTCAAATTTTAATGCTAATGACATAAAATTGTCGGTACTATGAAAACGAAATTTTTTCTTAGAAAAGAAACTAGCATCTGAATCAAGTACCGAAACAAAGCTTTAGATCGTGTAGTAGATACTAGTAAAAGATGCTAACTCACGAAGATCATGTTTTTGTTATCGAAGAAATTCGAAGATTTTTTTTTAATCCTCACTCAATATATCACCAAAAGAACTAATTAAAATCTTTTCTATCGTACAAACTGTGTTGATTTTTTTTTCCAAAAAATATCTGTTAGATAACGAGCATCATAGACTATACCCTATTTACGCTCTGGAATTATTTTGATTTTCTCATCCCCTGAGGACCGTACGGATCCTAAGTGGTCAACAAGTGGTAGTCCGAAATGTGGGAGTTTCAGGGTTAATATGCGTTATTATTACAGGACAAGCATTTGTTTTCTATCCAATAAACATGTTCAACATTATTCTAAGTATTTATTATGATGTATTATTTATTCGCTGATTAATTGTCATTTAATACTTGTTAAGCAGCTTTTATACACTAGTATTCATATAATAATATAACCAGTCTCAATCAATTGCCTTGAAGTGTTAGTTGATGGTTCATTACTATCTGATATTATTAATATCTCATTAAGAAATAAAATTGGAAAAGTAAACGAAGAAGAGTTTTATCTATCTACATTCATCACTAAGAATTGGTTTTTGCATTAAACTCATTGATTGCAATGAATGTCATACAAAGTTGAATGATGTTTCATTCAGATTTGTTTTTTGATCTTGAACGATAAGCTAAACCATATATAAATCTATCCTCAACTTCTTTTCACATCATATAATTGTTGTATGATTATTTTGCATTTGATTAAGTACATGAAGACTGTTTTCATGATTATTCCATAATATTATTTAAACAAAAAGTATTACCTCATCATGTTTAATAATATAGTTTCGCATACATGGGTTTTCATATTCAGTTTACATTCATGTCTTGGTATTTAATTTTCAAAATCAACAGATTTAAATCAAATTTTATCATCAATGATTGGATCAATATTTACGACGAAGATAGTCTTTATTTTCTATTAAACTTGGTTCATCCGTCATATCAAATACTGACATATAGGGTTATTCGTCAAATCAATTGTATAAAAAAAAGTAATTGAAAGCAGTAAAGATTTCATTTGTTGGTTGATAGAGATTATGTTTGAATGTTTCTTGTCATTCTTGCTTGATTGAAGCATCAAAAATTGATAACTTCTGTCGCTATAAACTCAAGAAACAAAAGTCAAACAGGACTCGTTCAACTGTGAAAATGAAATCTCATGATCGTATTGATAGTATCTGTTTTCTAAAGCTGTACCTTCGATTTATCCATCAATCAACTTTGAAAGCTTTGTACGACATTTTACAGTGAAGTGAAACTCGAATGCTATTGATTTGCTTTCTTGCTTCTGTCATTTGATTCATTTGATCATTACAGAACTTTTTTTACTAACATTATATACCTATCACCCAAAAAATACAGTTGAAAAGGGAAAATTTCACTAAGTCACTTGGTATGTATTTACATTTCATTAAAAAGATCATGTATATTTAGACATATGATTATTATCTACATTTCTATTTTTATTTCACTTTCGTTTTTTTTTGTAGTTTTTGTTATTGACACAATCACTTAAATGACATTTAATAAACAACTTAATTTATTTCAAGGCAAGAATAAAAAATAACGAGCCACAAACAGAACATAAGACAGACTAAATCATGTGATCATATCACTTTCCTGATGTTAATTCCTCGGCTACTGCTGGTATACGATTCATTGTTACATTTGTTTCTTCACTATTTGAACGTTGACATAATTCTTCAAGTAATGAAATAACACGATTAGTTTTTTTTTCAAGTTCACCTATTTTTATTTCTAATCGTTGTACTTTTGTATTTAATGTAAATTGTTCACGATCTTTATCAGACACAATACTTGGATATGATTTTGGTACACCTAATGTTTGATCTAAACGTCGTTGTATATCAGCAAGTGCATACATCACTTTAACATTTCCTTGTGCATTTTCATCCATAATATCCTTGAAATCATATGGTTTATGAGCTTCACGAAATTTCCTTCTAGCTACATGATATTTAATAATACGTATCATTCGTATAGCAACTAGTTGATTACTATCAAGATCTTCAATTCCATTAACTTTACGCCATGAAATTTTATCTAATGATATACCACTAGATGAAGTACGCAATACGTTTGGTCCAGTACGCATACGTGGTGTACTATTTTCACTATTCGACATAGTCATCGTAAATGCAGAAGCAGTATGACGACCGAATTTATTCGTCCGTTTTATTTCAATACGATAAATACTCCATGTTGCTTTTGTATTTGGATGACGAGCAGCAACTAAACGCCACCAATTTTGAATTAGATTAGCAGCAGCAGGAATTAAACGATTAAATTGTTTTTCACGTTTTTTTTGTTCGACTTTTAAAGCAAAACCTGAACCAATAATACCAGATGGTAATGTCCAAAAGGCTACACCACAAAAACATAAACAAGATGTTATCATTTTGCCAATATATGTACCAGGATATTTATCACCATATCCAATTGTTGTCTATAAAGTTAGACAATAATAATAATAAAAAAACACAAAAGAAGATTTTTCTTTTTTTGACTTACCATTGTCACAATAGCCCACCAAAGTGTATCAGCAAAACTATGAAACATATCTTCATTAGGTGGTTTACTTGCATCGTTTTCAACTAACCATATTAAATAAGCGACAACAATTAAAAAAATAAAACAAAAATAAAGTGTAGCAACTAATTCATAACGATGATCATATACAACAGAACCAAGTAAACGCCATGATGTAAGACGTCGATCAACATGAAGAAATCGAAGTATTTGTAATATTCTAACATATCTTATAAGTTGTACATTAAATTGTGTATTATTTAAACCCATACATAATAATATAGCATAACTAATAATAACACATAAATCAATAATACACATTGATTTACGCATAAATAATAAACGACCATGATGACCACGATATTTACTTCGACAACCAGATGACCATACACGAACAATATATTCAATAAGAAATAAAATAAAAAGTATAAATTCCATCCAAAATAATATCGCAGAGGATTGTTGAACATAAACTGTTAATATTGAACTGTAAACAAGACAACCAATAACAACACTAAATACAGTAAAATGATATAAAAAACAATATATACCACATGGTCGCTCAAGAAAATTATAAATATGTGATTGAAATGGATGGTAAAAATGTTTCAATAATTTATAATGACTTGATGATGAATTAAAATCACTATCTTCATCATAACTATTTGTTCGAATTGATATTCGACTTGATGGTCGATGCACGACTGTTGGTGCAGATAAATAATATTCATTAGTTGGTACAGGCACAAATCGATGTAATGGATTGCTCATAATTAGTTTATTGTATCATATTACTGTATAAAAGAATAAATGAAATATTATAAAACGATACGCTTATATATGTCTTGAACATTGAAAATTAACATCTGATATTATTTATCTTTTTTCGGTTCTAATATGTTATCTAATTATTAAATTTAATAATTTTAAAAAGAGAATTTTTTTTAAACGTTGATGAACAACTGATGAGATAGTTTTTTCATATTCTCTAGCTTATATTATTATACCTGGTTAGAATGAGGATCATGATGATTTGTTATTCTTCTCGCATAATACTATTTTCGAAAGACGATGTTATTGTATCTGTAAAATATATACAATATATGTGCTACACCACTGGAAGTTTTCACTGTTGAATTATGAATAGTTTCTTTCGTTCGTCTTTTGCTTTCTTTTTTTTTTTACAATGTTTCGATTGAGAATAGCCTTTATTACTTTATAAAAGTAACCGATCTGCATTTTCGTTTTTTACCATTCACATTTTTAAGAAATGAGAAACGGCAAAGTCTATTATGTTTATTTCTTCATCATTGTTTCCCTTGTTTGAGAGACAATCAGTAAGAAAAGAACTCGACAACAATGAAAAAAAAGGAAAAAGAATAATGTCTCTATGTAAACAAAAAAAAACTTTAAAATTAATTCTCATTGTGTTGCCTGAATTGAAAAAAAAAATATTCATGTAAAATCTTGGTTTCGCATTTGTCCTAGAAAAAAAAGCAAAATGAAATGAGAGAATAAAATAGAAAAAGTGATGTGACGAGTTTCTTTATTTTTAAAGTAACTATTTTCTGTTTCTTATGAATTTTCACTTTATTGATAAATTCTTTTACAAAGAATTATTTTTTATATAACATGACATACAGCAATCTCATAAGAGAGTTGCAGATCCACGTTTTTAATGACTTGAACCGATTGAGGTTCAGATTCGAGGTTTTTTGGTCAATATCTGGCATCCTTTGTGTACATGAACAACTGAAAGATTAAGATTTTAGCTATTTATTGTCTACTCTCAGAAAAAAGTCAACGTCGAGTTATTTTTCGTTGTGGTTTACTTTCTCATTACTCGATACTTAAGAAAGTAAAAGTTTTCGCTTAGCTGAACACAGCATTATGTTAACAACAAAAGAAATTGAATAGTTAATTCATAAACAAAATTTATCAAACCAACAGTCATATCATAATCTTCAGCTGTATGGAATAGTTTCAATTGTATATCTATAAACAAGATCAAACAATCAAGGAGGTGTGGATTCTACATTTTTGTAGACTCAAACTCAATTTTGAACGGGCTCACAGCTCTTTAAATCTCCTACCTTTTTCTTCGATATTCATTTGATGCATTTATTTATCCTTCTATATATTTCCATAATTTCAAACAAAATAATGCCCCAATATCTCTTTCTTATAACAAAAACAATAGGCTGTACAGTAAAAAAAAAAAACAGGACACACATAAGAATAGCGAGAAAAAAACGAATTATCATAAAAAGTAAAATAAAAAATAAAAAATACGAATGATTATTAATAACATTTATTTCCTATAAATAAAAGAAAAGAATATACAAAATTGAACTTATTATTATTTTACTTACATTTATGTACTTGTGAAAGTATTCGTTGTCGAGCATTAGCAAATGCTAAAATATCATCATCAGTTTTTTTGTCACCCGTTAACGGCAAATTCAACCTAATCAAGACATTATGTATATGCCATTTTATATTAATATTTTTACGTACTGTTGGGGTGTTTTAGGAGCACTGTTCGATGCAGATGAATAATCTGATTGAAACTAGAAAATTTCAATTTCATTATGATTAAAATTTAAAAATAACAAGAGAAAATTCTTACTGATCCTGTTGTTTGTCTTGATAGATTGCCATTAGTTTTTGATGGTTTCATTTCTAATAATTGACGTTGTTGTTCCTATAGTAAGAAAGAAAAAAAAAAAAAAAAATACTTTTCAAGGCATGATTTATTTTTTCATACTGCTTGTTCAGATTGTTTTTCCCACCAATCATCAAAATCTTTTAACATTTGTAATCGATCTTTCTCAATAACATGTTGTATATGTTCAATTTCTTGTTTCATATTTTTTAAACGATTAAAACATTCACGATATCTATCAATTAAAATAATCATTATTCAAACAAAAAAAATAAAAATCTCAAATAAAATTTTCTTTACGTTATTTGTTCTTGTTCCATCGTTGTGCGTAATTCATTTAGTCCTCGATGGTTTTCTATTTCATCTTGTGTTAATTGTGCAGCAAGACGTAAATGCATTTGTTCATATTGTCCTTTCATATGATCTATAAAATTAAATTTATAAAAATACTATTTATTAAAAAAAAACTAAAGATAGATTTATTATTACTAATTCGATTTCGACATTGATTTATTTCTTCTCCAAGTGTTTTAGCTTCTGTATAACGTTGTTTTAATATACGTTTATGTTCTTCAAGTTTTTGATTAAGAGGATTATCTCGTCGAAAATGATCGAATGCTTCTTGACGACCAGCAGACATATTTTTCACTGAAATTAATAATCAGAGATATGATGAAAATGATCTCTTTACAATAAACTTAAATATTTATATTTATTCTCATAAATAAAACAATCTTCAGTTATGATTTCTTTTAATTTAGTTTGTAATTAGATCTTAATCAATTGGTAGTAAACGTGTAAAATATTTCATTCAAAACAAATGAATGAATAATTTAAAAATAAAAACCTAAATTTGATAAAATGATTTAATGTAGAAAGATGAGTCTAGGAAAATTTGTTGATACAAATAATAATCAATTGATTTATAGTAATACTAAAAATCTTTTTGAAAAAAAGATCACATCAGAACAAACGAGTAAGCTAAATCGGTGCCAAAAATAAGATACAAGATGCTATTAGAAAATTGGAAGTCACAATAAAGAAGCACGTGTTTCTCTGATATATGCAAGACATGAACTAGGACTTGTCTTTAAAATTAAAATTGCTAGATCCACAGTTTATCATGAAATTACATCCAAATTAATTCTGATGGAAAAATGGAACCAAGAAAAAACAATTTTAAATATAGTATAGGTTTACGTCATTAGATTACGCAATCAAGCCCAGCATCCTAAATAATGTCCTACATAGGTACGATTTTTCGCATTTGAGCTCAGCCATCTTATGCTCGATATTTGACTGGACCTAGATCGAAGTTAATCGACATTGGACAGTTACTTTCACAGTCATCATACGGTTTTTAAACTTTTGCTTTATATGAAAAACTATACTGTTTAGCTTCTTCTATAAACAACGACAGAATAAAAGAAATAATTTCAAAATTCAACAACAAGGCAAGTGATTCAGTATTCACTCAGTATCTTTCTGCTTCTAAAATTTGATCAATTTGGCTAATTATACGTTTGCTTGTTGATGATGAAGCTGGAATAGAACGTAGTGTCGAGGCTGAATTTCATAGATATAGATAGATAAGTAAATGCTGTTCCATCACGATAGTACATGTTCATCTCGTCGATAGTTCATTTTCTTTTTCATGTATTCAATCACTTCATTATATAGTTCTTCATCATTTGTAGATGAATTTTCATTACAAACGAATTCTCTTTATAAAACAATATTACTATATCACTTCTATGACCTATTCTCAAGTATAATAAAGTGTTCGATCATAATCGAACCGGTTGTACCGGGATCTTATCATTCTCATACTTTGTGTTCTTTCTCTAACTAGATAAAAAGAAAGAAAGTCATCTTGTCTATGAATTTCATGTTGTACAATAATTCAAATTATCTTTCTTCTATTGCCTCAATTTTTTAATTTTCTTTGACTTACGTTGATGTGCAACACGATCAGTCGATGAAAAAGAATTTTCACTTGGTGGTGTCATACTAAAATTTAAAGGTGATTTAATTCTAAACAAAAAGAATTTAAATTACCTTTCACTGAATGGTCGATATTCAGTTTTCTTTTCTTTTTTTAACATATTCACAAGTATACTTATTTCATTATCTCGTAATTTAATAATTTCTTTTAATTCTTTAACTTCTTTACTATCATATGGTGATATATCATGTGTTATATAAATTGGTTGACTATTTTTTGTTGATTGTGTTGATGCTGTTTTAGCTTGTTCTTGTAATTCAAGATATAATTTCTATTTAGACAAAATAAGATTATTTTTTGTATGTATTAAAATAAAAACTTTCCTACTTTAAATGCTCGATAACATTGATCAATTTTACGCATATCAGCACCAACATTTAATGTTGCTTCATTATCTGTATCAGCTAAATAAACTTTAACTTGTTCAATTAATCTAAATGTAAAATATGAAAATAATAAATTTGAATTTTCTTTTTTTGTCTTTAATACTTACTTAGCTATCATTTCAGGTGTTAATGGTTCATTAAATTGTTCACTACCATTTTGCATTAAAATTTGATTACGTAATTGTAGATTTTCAGTTCGTAATTGATTAATTAATAAACGTGGATCTAATTCTTCATTAAGTATAGCATCATTTTTAATTAATGCAACACGTTGAGAAAATCGACAAGTTGATATTGTTTCCTTAAATACAAAATAAATAAAAAAAAATAAGAAAATCTTACATAGAAACTTCTTACTTCAATATTTCGTTTATCAACTGCACATGTTGCAATCATTGTTGTCATACAATTTCCACCAAGACTATCACGTAATACAGATGTCATCATAGAATTTCGATATGGTATATGCGAACGATTTTTTTCTGATAATGCAACAATAACTTGTTCAAGATAATGTAAAGATAAATTAATATATTTTGCTTCAGTTAATAATAAACCATTTACATTTGATTTTGATACACGTTCAGAACTACATAATAACAAAGATGTTTTGTTTTTTTTTTATTAGAAAAAAACAAAATTAAAATAGTAACAAATCTCAAATTGATACTAATTTGGACATTTGATGTATAAAAATTATTATAAATTTCAATTC